TTTGCAACCCAGGCCATTCTGTGATTCTATGTTGATTCTATGATTATGGCACCCTGTGGATCCCTGTGGCACCCTATGGCATCCTTATGGCACCCTGAGCAGCCTGGTCTGCTGGTTGGCGACCCTACAGACAGCAAGGGGGTTGAAACTAGATAATCATTGTGGTCCTTTTCAGCTCAGACCGTTCTATGATGATTCTATGATTAGGGCACCCTGTGGATCCTTGTGGCACCCTGTGGCACCCCATGCATCCCCATGGCACCCTCTGTGTTCTCTGTGCAGCCTGGGCTGCTGGTTGGTGACCCTGCACACAGCAGAGGGGTTGGAACCAGATGAGCATTGTGCTCCTTTGCAACCCAGGGCATTCTATGATGATTCTATCATTATGGCACCCTGTGGATCCTTATGGCACCCTGTGCAGCCTGGGCTGCTGGTTGGCGACCCTGCGCACAGCGGAGGGGTTGGGACGAGATGATGATCGCTGCGATCCTTTCCTAGGCCATTCTATGACCCCCTCCCAACCTGTCTCCTACCCCTGCAGCCATCCGGGGCTTCTCCCCGCAGCACAAGATCCGCAGCTTCGAGGAGGCTCGGGGTCTGGACCGCATCAACGAGCGCATGCCGCCGCGCCGGGACTCGCTGCACGCCGACGGGGCGCTGCACCTCCACCCCAACCCCAGCCCTGCCGACAAGAACAACGGCAAGAAGAGCCCCTGACGGCGCCCGGGAGCAGCCACAGCCCACGGATTTTATTTATTTATTGATATTTGGGATGGGGGGGGGGGAGGGGAGGGGAAGGGGGGGGGCAGGGGGAGCAGTTTTCAGCCGCAGGCACCGCCGCGCTCCCGTCCGCATGTTGGCAGGTGGCAGGTTCTGTCTTTTGGTTCTTAATTTATGTTTCATATATATATATATATGTATATACACACACACACACACACACACACACATATATATATATATAAAATAGCCCCTTTTTTCTTAAGTTGAGAAACCAGTGCAAATGCAGGGCGTGTGGCTGCAGGGCGCTGTGCTGCGCGCCCCCCCCAGGCGGTGCAGCTCGGTGGTCCCACTCCATGTCAGCCCCCAGCCTGGCACTGCTGGGCCCCTGCTGCTCTGTGTGTTGACCCCATCCTTCGGCCCCGCTGAGTGCAGCCCTGGGACCCCACAGCAGGGTGGGGAGGCAGCGCTCCCATCCCCCACCCCTTCGCCCCCCCCCTCCCCGCTCCATCTGCATCTTCCTGGGCTCCTTTAGGATCCCCCCATCCCACCTCCATCTCTTTGGGATCCTTCCCTTTGGGTCCCCCACCTCACACGCATCCTTCTGTGGGTCCTTCATTTTGGATCCCCCCCTCCCCATCCCATCTCCTTCTTTTTGGGTACCTTTGTTTTTTTTGGGTCCTTTGGATCCCCATCCCACCTGCATCCTTTTGAGGTCCTTCACTTTGGGTGCCCCCATCCCATCTGTATTCTTTTGGGATGCCTCATTTTTGGTTTGGGTTCTTCCCTTTGCATCCCCCCCATCCCATCTGCATCTTCCTGGGCTCCTTTTGGATCTGCCCAGCCACCCTCCATCTCTTTGGGGTCCTTCACCTTGGATCCCCCCCATCCCATCTGTGTTCTTTCAGGGTCCTTCATTTTTTTTGGGGGGGCCCTTCCCTTTCCCAATTCCATCTTTTTGGGATCATTTGCATCTTTTTGGGACCCCTCGCTTTGGATCCTCCACTCCACACACATCATCTTTGGGTCCTTTGCTTTGGCTCCCCCCACCCCATCTCTTTGGGGTCCTTCACTTCGGGACCCTCATTACACATATGTCTTTTTGGGGTCCTTCACTTTGGGATCCCCCCACTCCATCTTTCTGGGATCCTTCACTTTTTTGGGGCCCTTCCTTTTGGGATCCCCCCACTCCATCTTTTTGGGGTCCTTCTTTTTTGACCCCCTCCCCCCTCCATCTGCACCTTTTTGGGATCCTTCGCATCTTTTTCAGGTCCTTCCCTTCATACCCACCCACCCCACCTTCATCTTTTTGGGGCTCTTTTGCTTTTTGGGCCCCTCCCCCATTGCTGCCAGCACAGTTTGGGGCCGCAGTGCTCACAGGGGGTCCGAGTGGGGGTCTGTGTGTGAAGGATCCCATGGGACACACCGAGGATTTGGGAAGCTCTGCCCCCCCCCAGCCCCATATCTCCCCCCACCCCCCCCAGGGGGGCTGCCCCCCATTTGGGTGTTTGCATGTGATAGCAGAGGTGCATGTGATGGGGAGGGGAGGTGGTGCCAGGCTGGGGGGGGTCTCAGTGCAGAGCAGCCCCCCTCCCCCCCCCATAGCCTGGAGCCCGCCTCCTTTGTATCGTATTGTATTGTATTGGATTTTATTTTAT